TTACTCAACAATTGCTTGGAATCCCTTCATGAACTGTCTTAAATATGAGGCTCAAAAATTCTTTTCACTCATACTCTGGCTGTGAAGTGGAAAAGGAAAGAAAAAGGAGCATGATCAGGTAGTTATGCAAGATCGTGTTTGCGCAGGGAAAATTCTCAATGAAATTCATTCTCAGCGCTATTTGCTACTGCACTGGAATTTTCGCAATCAACAGAACAGAAGCTTGCGAAATAAAATAATACCTTGATATCGAGATGGACGATGTGAAGGCTGTGAAGGTGCTTGATGCCGAGAAGAATCTGACGGACGAAAGCTGCCGCTTCGACCTCGTCCAGACATTCCCTAGCGCAGACATGATCGAACAGCTCACCGCCGGACACCCTGAAAATTTCCAACATATTGAATGAGTATCCATGTGACGCTCGCGATAAGCCACGCTTCCGCACATGTGGAGAGTTTGCAGAGCTGACTGATTGCATGGCATGGACTTGAGAAATGATCCCTTGGTTTCCTTGAACCCCTTATTCGACTGTTCGCACACCAGCGCTCACCCTAACTGGGCTGTCCACTACAGCAGCTGTACCGCTTCTTGCCCTTCACAACACAATCCCCACAGTATGGGTAATTGAGCTATACCAAATCGTCATAAGCTTACCCCTGAATCGCCTGAATAAAATTCCTCGCATCCAATAATCTTCACCCTAAATGCGTTAGAGACTCACTGTATTACTTGTATGCTTCTCAGCTGCAACGCAGTAGCATGGGTGTAAAGAAACCTGGCCTTCTAACTTTCCTAGTGCCTTGGAAGTTCCTTTAGGGCTAGGCAATTTTGAGGCCGAGGTGGTGTATTGGCAGGGGGCATACCTACCACTCACGTGGTCCGCGGGTCAGATCTTGAACTGACTGCCGCTTGGCGAACCATTCCTTCTACCCTCTGAGGACGAGAAATTGGTGCCAGGTTTTCTGGACAGATGAGAACACTGACTTTTACATCGGCTGGGCACGCAAGTACGGCACAGTACGGCAGTGTATACGGCACATCGCAAAAAGCCAAAGCAGTACATTTCTCAATGGAAGTGAATGCGGGCAGTTCCCCGAAAAAGGACTGATTATCGGCGCGGGCTTTATCTTCTATCATTTACATTTCGAGTTTATTTAGTGCCTCAAAGCTTGACATCATTCAATGGTTCACTTCCCTTTGTCATAGAAGGTTCATTTCCCAGAACACTTCAGTCTTTCCTCCCCACTTCAAACTTGGATTAGCATGGCAACAAACTGTGAAACCACGAAAGGCTCGGCTGAACGCGAACTGTGATTTCCTAAGAGTAGCTCTTCCTTCGCGCGTCTGCAGAGGAAGAGGGTTGCTAGATTCCCTAGGCCGAGGCCGCAACCGTGCCAGAACGTGTGGCGCTTTTCATACTGCTGTGGATGAGAAATTGGATGAATTGATCAAAAAAGACCACTTCAGAACAAACCACTAAGATTAATTGAATGTCTAGCGCAGGGCCATTAATCACTCAGAAATGGGATTTGTGCATTGAAGAGGGAAAAACGAAAAAGCAGCACAAAAAAGGGATTACTCACAGTTCAAGTACTAGAAATGACGTCACTTGGGGTTTCGTAGACCTCGTGCAGTTCGATAACATTGCTGTGACCGCCCACGGTCCGCAGTACGGACACCTAAACATCTCTTGTTTAGGTTATGTCGACTATGTGGGCTGGACTGAAAAGCTCTATACTCGTCATACTTAATGTGAATGTGGCGGTGAATATCTATAAGTGTACGTGAAGAAAATTGGAAGTGAAGGCAAAATAGTATGATAGAGTCTGAATCGGGTCCGCGAGGATTACTGTTAGATGAAGTAGTGTGGAAGGCCACAATAGGCAACTTTCTAAGTTTCCTTCGTACTAGCCCACCTGCATCAATAACTCGCTTTAAATGTGGTAAAAATGAAGAGATAAACGCGATTGCGTGCGTTTTTGATTTTTTTGCTTTAGTTCGGTTTCTATTAACTTTTTCCATGGGATATCTTATACGATCGGAGTCTACTGTTACATGGTTCGTGGTCCGTCGCGCTCAAGCGAAAAACGCGAAATCGCATTTTTCTGATGTTTTCGTAGATTAAGTTGTTACTGTAGGGCAACAGTTTCTGTTTTAAATCATTTAGATCCCTGGAGCGAATGGCGCGAAGAGTATACAGTCGTCATCCTTGCACTTGATAGTCAATGTCAGTGCGGCGCGCGGTCGTCAGCACCCGTACTGCACCAATCGTTGAACCAGAGAGTGACATTACTGTATTATATCCTTCGTGTTACTCGTTTTCTATCACTTTTTGTCGCATACGCGTTTCAACGAAAAGGCTGAGAAGGCTTCAAACAGTGTGCACGCTCCTTCTCGCCGACACGCCCCTAAATGAACTCAAGGTATGACGACTGTAGCAGCATAGATCTCGGCACCGGATCGCCTTACTGCTATAGGCTTGACCAATATAAGGTTTCGCTCTCCAGAGTAGTACTAAGTTCACCAATCACTGATTACTTTGATCCAGTACTTGTAACACCAAGTGAAGGGAACTCGCATCAAGGACGGCTACAGCGAGCGTCGTGCGATGCCCAGGGTGGGGGTCGTATTTGGCCGGTGGAGGTAGGGGATATGTAGTATTTGCTTTCCATGAAGCTATTTATGGTTGCTGACTTCCGCTGGTTTTTCCCGTTTCACGTGCGCTATGTGCGCGCCTCCTCCCATCCCCATCCAGTCTTCCACATCTCTGATGGAATATTTTTTTGGGGGGGACTCGGACGAGAATATTTCCAGAAAAAAGCGCGGAAAAAATGAAGTTTGAGAAGTTGGGCAGATTGAGAGAATCGGGAAGTAAACACTGGATACAGGGAAAGGGAGGGATTTCTTCTTTGGCGGGTGGGGGACCACCGCTCGTTGCGCTCCAAAGCTCCACCCCCCCCCCATCCCTCGAAGACAGGACATACCGCGCTGGTCCAGAAAGCCTGAAATTGGCACTCTTTTGTGTCAAGGATGTATGCATACGAAAAAGTCGAAAAGTAGTGGACGCGCCAAAAGATAGCTATTAAGATATGATACGCTCAAAGCAATCCCAAAGCTAGAGGGGCTGCTTGTAGGATGGGAAAACAAAAAAAAAAGAAGAACGAAATAAAAAACGAATAGTAAAAGAAACGTAAATGAAAAGTAAGCTGGTGGAAAAACAAGAATTTTCTGGTGGTAACTTTTCAGAGTTCTTGGAAGTTATTACTTTTTAACGGACCAACCTCTCGTTCGATGTTCGCCCTGGTGACGCCACGCCTCGAAGTCGCATAGCGTCGTTTCTTGATGAATTTCGCCGCAAATTCTTCACCCGTTGATTTCTTTACCACTTTTCTCACCACAGCAAACTGTCCACTGTAAAGTATAAAATAATCAGTTCTGTTAAAGTATGGGGGAATAAAATTACAGCTCTAATCGAACTGATTAGGAGAGGGATGCCGAATTGAGGACAGAATGCCACGAAAGAATTGAACCTGGACTCCTTCACCTGTGCTCTCCACTCAGCGCACTACCACCACCGTAGCCTCTTAGTAGGACAGTATGAGGCTGAGGTCCAGGTTCGATCCCTAATTGGAGCCAAACTTTTGACCAGCAATCCACCATTCCCGAATGTTTGTCGAGTAATTGCAAGACTGACAAAAACTGCTACTAGCGCTCACCTGCCAAGTTCATCGCCCACGTCAAAGATGGCGTCAAACGGGGCCTCATTGAATTTTATCTGTGGTTCCTCCGAGCCGAGGCTTTGATGCCGACGCAGCTCGTCTCGCATTTAGTCGCATTAAATGTGTGTGAAGGATCGATCAATGCCTATCACAGTCTGTCTGGCTTCACCTTTCGACCTTCCTGAAAATCGTTCGATTGAAATCGTTCAGAGAATAGGAACTGTTGAGAGAAGGCGATTAACAGATCGAGGCACTAAAAATATAGAAGTACAGCCAAGAAGGTATGCCATTCGAATACCGAATGATGTACACATGGTCAATATAAAGACGATAAGAAATGAGGTGACGAACTGGAACGCGCCATGCCTCCGGCATTCACCCGTGAAAGTGCAAATATTTGGAAGGTTCGCTGCAAGACCCACTAGATAGCAGTAGCGGATGCCTCAGAAATTTAGGCTTGGTTTTCGTCATAGACTCGATACAACCTCTAGGGAACAAAGTTAACCCAGATTCAATCGTCTGATAGTGGAAATAAGAATAAAAAATAAACCCAAACTGTGAACGATGTTGAGAACGTGAAAAATTAAAGCGGCATCTTCAATTTTTTCTTTCTCTAAGAGCCACTGCACTTGTTCCATCTGGAGCCACGACTAGATTTGCGAATGTCAGAGCAGTGAAATCAGAAAATGACAAAGTGTTTCTCATAAATGATGGCAAAACAGAATATAATCTTGAGTAGTTTTGGTATGGTGACTGCTGTTTAACGCCACAGTTCGCGCTCCGAAACTTATCACGGTAGCGCACTCGCCCGGTCAGCTGGAGATCCGAGTACCATCTGGGACTTTTTCTTATAACCCAGCCTTCTTGGGATATTTTTAGATAATAGCTTCAAAACTGAGGAATCCTCTTCGCTCTGTGATCAGTGATTCCGCAGGAAACTGAAAGGGACTGCAGATTGAGAGAGAAGAAGAGAGAGAGAGAAAAAAGAGAGCTTCTGAGCAGAGAAAAGGCATGTGAATGTATGAAAAGTGGCGGATAGTTCTCGTACAGAATGGTGCGAATTACAAAAGGTGCGGAATTCTGAATCATAACAGGTTGTACATTTTCCACAAATGGATACGAGTCCTTCAAATATGGCACGTAATCGCTGACTGTAACGGACCTTCTCGGGTTTCATGGAGAGGTGTTGAATGGAATGAGCGGGTCGAAAAGAGTGAAAGGGCAACAAATGAGGGCAAGATTTGCAAATAGATGGGAAACCATAAAGAAAAATCCGATTGGCCAGAAAAATCCGATTGTCCAGAAAAACTTGGCCATATTCCAGAAAGAGAGAAAATAATGTAAAAATAAAAAAAAAAAAAAACGAAAAAATGAGAAAGGAAACCAGAAAATGATGTGAATTTCAATGTAACTATTCATTTCCATGTAGTTCGACTCCCTTAACATGTAGGGTTCCAAAAAGATAGAGAAAAACTCAATGAAATTCGAGTTCAATAGAACAAAAAGAACCCAAAAGGGGAAATGTCTTTGTATTGAGCATTATAGAAGGATTCACAAGTAATTGAGCTATCGAGAAGAAAGACGGCAAGGGTTTTAAAAATCGAAAACTCGACATTTACACCTGGACTGGTGGATATAAATTCAGACACCCAATTTTTTATTACACTTTTGAAAATTTGAACCGTTGGATGTGAGAAAACAAGGAAGCAATGAAAGCTCTGAAAAAGCCGGAGCGCTGAATCGCCGAATATCAGATGAAAATGCTGAGGATTCAATGAAAAATGTGAAAAAATATTCGATGAAAATTCCACCGAACCAGGGATGAAAGAGGAGTGAATGGTATATTTCGGTATTGATCAGCCAAAGTTCCAGAAATTGAGCGGATAACGGTTCTACAACGCTATAGTTACACTCAGAATCGCACTGGTGGTAGGGTTGGCCTGGAGTATCAGTGCTACTTCCCTCTGCCCATTCTTCAAGAAAGTTTATGTACACATATAGTTGAATATAAAAAAGCTAGTAGAGCCCACGGCGTTGATCAATCCTCTTTAAAGGTGCGCCACGAACCATACATTTACTAGGAATGGAGGCTGCTCCACGAACCATACATTTACTAGGAATGGAGGAATATGAATTAGTTTTGATCTACGAGTTGCAGGGGCCAGCTGATGTGCAAGTGTTTGTTTTGTCCTTCAGGGCTCGTCTAATATCGAATAATCCTCTCATCATAAGCATGGCTTGCTAGGAAGTAGCCAGGACAAAACTTGGGACTCGTGTGCATGATAACACCACTTGCCATCACACCTTCTCCATCTCTTGAATCAAAATAGTGAGTAACAAGCCTACTACCAGAAGCTGTAGACGGAGCATCACAAATACTTAACTAATTATAGTTGATATCGTCGCAATCGGTCGGGGCTGCCAGGAGGCGTAGATGAGTTCCCTCGGCTGCGTTTCCTACCAATGGTGATCGCTTTAAGAAGAAAACAACCAATGGTAGAAAAGGCCGCCACTGCGACGAAATCAACTGTACCCATGTACGAAAGTTGCAAAAGTGCACCAATGAGTGCATCAAATAAATAAAAATAGAAATAAATGTGGATTGTTTAATAAATAAATAAATAAATGTAGATTATTCAGTTGAAAGAGTTCGGCAGTTTTGCACATGCAGAACCTAAGGGTATCAGAACATAGTCAAAGGAAACTTACAAAGGTTGATGGGCCCCTTTAGGACCAAGTCACGATATTACTCAAGTAAGAAGGAAGATGGGCCGAGAGCCCCAGTTGAGTTGACTAGCTCATCAGAAGTCGCTCAGAGAGTATAAAGTGTCTTTACGCCTATTGTCTGTTTACAATCGGATCAGAACTGAAGCCTATCGCAGTCTTGGAAAAGCCTCAAAATTTTATTGATGGGGAAAATCAGAAATGTCATGAACACAGTTCTCAAAACACAACGCAAAGGTGTGGTTTATCATTACGCCATTGCGTAGTAATACGGTCCCTAACATCAATCATACGAAGCGGTGATACTGCGAAAAAAGAAACCACAGCACAGTACGTGGCCTCCTGATTACAGCATTTCGCGCAAGTCAATGGGAAACTGCGGGATGATGAAGAAAACAGTAGGAAGTGCTTTACCGTTTTCTACATTCACTGAGTAGGCATAAGTGGAACCATACGTCTCATGCCTCTTTCGTCTTCTTTTCGCTAATCTACAAAATTGTCGAACAGATTTTATTATGGAAGCACCACGTTCGCTGAATAAGGTGATTACTTCGGAAAAACTCCATAGCTCTGCCACGCTGACTCATTTCAAACATAACTACAAAAACAAGTCGAATGCACCCACGTGTTGGACTTCCGATGAACCTTGACATTGTGGGAAGACTTCTTTGGTGTATTGGTCTTTTCTGCTTCAGTACTACTTGAGGTGGAGATGAGCCAGAACTGATTAGTTCAAAAACTTGTTTTATTACGATTATGACTGTTTAAAGCCGCAATTTGCCCCCAAAAGTCATCACAAAACGTCGATGACGGCGTAGTCTCTCAGTTTTCATCACGTTGAACGCGAAAATATCTTAAAGACAGCCCCGCGATCAAAGTGGCTCGTGGTCGCCTTTGCTGTGCAAGTAGTCTAGCCCCAAGCTAGAAGACTGTTCACCTTTCGCGACTCTATTGTGAGCGTGGAGGCTGCTATAGCCGCTCAAAGTGCTAGTTCTAACTCCTCCTCAGTCGGACCGCCTTTACTTGCTAGATGTCCTCCGACGGAGGCCACTCACTTGTTCTTAGTTGGGGCGGCGGGCATTGCTAATGCCCCTGGATAATTCTGCTCTCCTTCATTACAGTTTACTCATTGGAGGTATATACATTCAATTCAACCCATTTCGCGAGGTGAAACGCGTAAAAAACACGAGTGACGCAATTTTCGTGATGCAAAACCACGACGCACAAAAGGTGCGCTACCGTAATCACAAATTCAGACACCGTGTTGATAAAATTCCTTTTTCCTTCCCAGAGTTTTTCCTCTGCGTTTTTGTTGTTTTCTTTTTGTATTCTTTCTTTTGCACTGGATGATATCAACTACTGCGAGATGTGATAGAGAGATTTGTGAGCTAGGGGCTGCACAGAGACCGCAGGGAGTAACTGTGAGGGAGCGATTTTGTTTATGTTGTTCTGGAACGCTTCTTGCCTGTTTTCTTCTTTGGGAGATTACTTATCAGCTACTGTTTCATAATTGGAAAGCAGCTATCCATGAGACTTTTATCGCGGGAGCTGTCTTTAAGCTTCTTCATTAAAACCATCAGAAGCACGGTGTACGATCACTTGAAAGTTTGCGTCGTTTCTGCCAAAAAGTGCTCTCGTCTACAGTGGGGTAGGTCGTGCCAATCTCGTTTCGTAAAAGAGTGGTGAAATGACGTGATACACTAGGGAAATAAGGAGGAGGTAAGCATCGCTGCTATTATAGCACATTTTTTGGATCTTATCTTATCTCAGGGATCTTACTTGAGGGGTTCTTGATGGTTTATCTGCTGTTTTCTTCTCAATTGTGTCAATGAGGCATCATGGTTCACTTGATGAGCGTCACTCCCATCAACTGACGTCAGCGTCA